TAATATGTTTTGAAACCATTTCAGCTCAGCTTCACCCATCCCCTGAGTCACCCATCCCCTCAGAGGCTCTACCCGAAGGAACATTTTGCAGAGTGCAACACAGCAACATAGGTTGCCTTTGTCTGCCTAGCTCTAAAGCCAGAGGTGCATTTTATGCTTAAGATGATTCCAAAGAGGAAGTGAAATTTGCTCCCATAAAGCTTTATAAATAGCTGGTGGATTTTTAGTCCAAACGCTACATTTCAGTTATTGCTTTAGACATTTATTCTGAAAAACTTCCCTAATATTAGACATTAGAGTCCCACTTATCTCTGAACTTGTTTACCATCACCTGAAACAAGCAACCCCTTTTGGTAAGGCAGGCTATAATCCTTAGCTCACGAGAGCCCCGCCAGGGGATGCAGAAAAGGTTTCATGTCACAAATTAGCGATTAAGACTTAATGCTCAGGAAGAAAGAACTAGCTGAGCGAATGAACGAGGCATCTTAACTAGAAAAGGCTAATAACTGTCGATCGAGAACTAAAACTCCAAAGGGTAAAGGGAGCTCCCCTTAGCCGTATGTGTGAGTCTTCAATCCAAATAGATAAAGTGTTCCCAACCATGCATAAAGAATAAGACAAAGCTATGATTGCTGGGACACTACATCTGAACCAATAGAGCAGTGGACTTATTTCCAGCCATCCTAGGTCTCAGGAATTAATTTGCATATGAATAAATATAAACGACCATATTAACATAGTCCTGATTGCTGTACTAAAGGTAGGTGTAAAAATAATGGTTATGGGTGCTTCATTGATTATACAAATTTAAAACCATATTTTTTTAATTAATGGGGGGTGAGGAAGGAGAAGTAGTTGTAAAGTGGATGCTGATCTAGGGCTTCATTTGTATTAAATGATTTACGGCACCATTACTATGTTTCTATAGTATACCGAGTGGCGACTCTCAGCAATTTCCTTGTAATGTATGGTGACACTAATGTGCTAGTAAACTACGGGAGTTTACACTCTATTCAGTAGTGTGAAGGGTTGGAAAAATGCATTGCAACATCAATGACATGGGTAAATATCACCAGTGATAAAATAAAAAACAAAATACAAAAGAAGACAGTTACCTATGAATCTGCCAGCTGAACGTGACTATAACCTTGGCAGCAACAGCATTCAAAATGTACCATTTATGTTTGCACACAGATGCAAAACCGGGAGGCTTTGACTGTTGCTACCCAGCTTTGCTCAGTTTTAGTGTGATTCCATTTCAAACTGCGAGGTGGACTGCCATGCGCTTTCTGCTGCAGTTAAACACAATGGCTACCTCTACCTTGGGGTTAATGAAGTCCTGAGGTAAATGGATGAGCAGGCTGGGAAGAGAACGTCTGCACTAGGGAAGAGAAGGGAGAAGCCCCAGAGAACCAGGAACAAGAAAACAGGGAATAAGATAAGCCTGGAATATAGTAGGGATGTGAAAGTGCCAGCCTTGGCTCATCAGTTAATGCGCATGGTTACATGCGGCCCCCCCCATCCCCCACCATCCTGCGTGAAAACATGTAACCACTGAAATGTTTAGCAGTTACATGTTTACTTGAATAAAGGAATTTTAACTTCCCTAGACTATAAGATGGGGTAAAGAATAAGCCGTCCATGGACAGTGTGCGGACAGAGCATGCTGCGTGCACACTGGTTCCTACATAGGCTCCAAGCCAACCCCAAAGCATGTGATGCAATGTACAGTGCATACAATGTGATGTGTACATGGACTCATAGAACACTAGAACTGGAAGGGACCTCAGGAGGTCATCAAGTCCATCCCCTGCCCTCCCGGCAGGACCAAGCACCGTCTGGATCACCTCGACAGATGTCTATCCACCCTGCTCTTAAACATCTCCAGTGCTGGCGATTCCACAGCCTCCCTAGGCAATTTATTCCAGAGTTTAACCGCCCTGACAGGACATTTTTCCCTAACGTCCAACCTAAGCTTCCCTTGCTGTGCATAAAGGAAGAGATTTGCTGTGCACTTTTGGCTGAGTGTTATACTCTGTATCCGCTCCCCCTATGGTTGAATCTGCCCAACTCACTGTAGCTTTGGTCTCTGACAAATAAAGGAACTGGAGTGACAAGACTGGAGTCAGACCGAATTCCTGGGGAACTGTGCAGAAGAGAACTCAGGAGAATTCCAACGGGCATGATTGGGGGCAGAACACTAGAATACTAGTCTCTTCTGCTTGGGGGGGATGAGACTCTCTCCTCTGTCTCGTTTCCTAGTGTGCGCACGTCCCCTGGATTTCTGAGCTCCCTCCCGATAACAGGGGGGGCCCACCATGAGGGATAACCCGCCCCCCAACAAATCCCAGCAACATTAATCACCTCTGCAGCCAGAGTTACTGGGCAGTTACAGAAGGAGTGTCACACAAGTAAATAATGTACTATTGCCCTTTGGGCAAAGATGGTTGGAAAACTGGTTTTGCTGGGGCTGAGAACAGGCCACGCCAGGTAGACACGATGGCGCCGTGTGATGGGTACGGGCCACTTCCCCCTTTCGTCACGTCAAGACATGGATGTGTCACTCTGCACCCAGCCTGTGGATGAGCTATGTCCGCCAGAAAGCCCGTTGCAGTGGGCTGATAAGCCTGGGGCAGTTGGATCAATGCCTCAGCCCACGACAACACCAACTCTGGCTGCTGCTAACCGAGTCCCCTTGATCTGCAGAGAGCTATGGTGCCTATTGAAGTGGTGTGGTGCTAGGTAACATCAGACACAGCTCTGAGAGGCTGGGAGCGTGAGTCACCCAACCTGAGACATCATCTGCCTAGCTGGAGTCCCCTCTTCAGACAGGTCACACAGCTGCCAAAAAGACTCAGAGCACTGAAAGGCTACAGCCACTGTTCGGAGGCAATGGGGAAACAGCTGAAAAGACACTGCAGATAAAAGGACAATGCTGCTGGGGAGGTGACAGGGGTATGAAGCTTTCGGGGCTTGGGATTCTTAGCCCCCCCTTTTTGGAAGCACACTCCACTTTCTTTCATGAGAAAGATCAGCTTTGGCGAGAGACGGAGATTGGGCCACGGACTCTCCTGTCCCAGTTGTTGGGAATGCAACTGCATTTGCCGGGCAGGGAAAATGATGAACCTGCTTCCATACAGACTCAGCCCCTTGGCCGTGACCTTTACTGCTGCACGGCATTAGCAGGCACTCACATTCACAGTGAAAGGCAGCGCACGCTTTCCATTTGGAGCCAGGGCGATCAGGACCCAATGAAATGAATGGCAAAAATCCCATGGACATCAATAGGGCCAGCGCTGCACACACAGTATGCATGGATTCAGGCTGCATAGGTCAGGGTAACTTTGGGGAGCAGAGAAGGCTTCGGTGCCCATGCACAAAGAGACTCCTCAAGTTCCGGATACATGGGTGAGGGGGCGGCAATTGACGGGTAAAGTGATAGAAGCCATAGAAAGTCAATTCAGATCTACTTCCTCACGCCAGGAGCACTGATGGGTCTACTCACACTAAGACACCAATCCACTGGCGTACCCAGACCAGAATCTGCCCCCTGACTTTACAGAGCTCCCTCAGGCACCAATAACTACAGGGCTCCTCACAGGCCCAGGGGTCCCCTCCATGCCACGTTAGTTGCAGAATCACAGCCTTCGAGTGTGAGGTTCTGGGGACAGAAAACACTGCTGCACACCAACACACAAGAACCATCTGCTGTGCGAACGAGACGCCCAGCGGGATAGCAGGAACGCTGCAGAGTCACAGCATTCCCCCGCCAATTGTGTCTTTCTGCTGAGCCTGCCCTTCACATGCCTAGCAGACCCCTGGACGCTAATGAGTGCAGGGGCTAAGGCAACTGAACAGGCCCTAGCCACATGCTGTCACGTGGCAGTGTACTTGACCGCATAATGACATGCTGCACTGAGAAACACGCATGGGGAATGCCACACGTCGTATAGGTATGGAGCAGGAGGAGGGCAGGCATTCCCATGCTGGATCAGACCCCCAGGTCCATTCCGGGCCATGCCTGGTCTCAAGCACTGATCAATCCAAAAAGCTGCTGGGCATACCGCAGACGGTAGCTGTGGAATAAGCTGCCCAAAAGGGAATTCATTCCCATATATTTCTTAGCTGCTCAAATGTATTTATTTAAAGGGGTCCCTAAACAATTTTCTAGGTGGCAATTACTGAGTCCTTGGTTTCTTCTTTCACCTACAACAGTTCTGAAAAATTGATCACCATCACTCGCTCCCAGTCCCTGGCCAAATGTTCCTCTCCTCCAACCCCAAATGTACCACCCTACTTTTAAAATAAATATCCCCAGGGCAGAGCAAGAGATGGCTCCATGTCCATCTTTGGTTTTAACGTGTAGATCTTCCTACAATGCAGCCACAAACGGTTGACTCGGTATCTTCGAGCTGTCATAACTGAGGACACGAGGCCCGAGTAAAACAAGCATGGAAAAGATCTAAGAACGCTGTAAGCAATCAGAGTACCTCTTGTAGTGGCTAATCTGCTTCCCAAAGTCAAAGCCAAACCCACACTGTACTCTGCAGGACAGAAGGGGATAGGGAGCGAACTCCGAAGCAAGCTGTGCAATGGAACCACTCTTACTAATGGTGCAGCCTCACCACCCTTGAATAGTTGGAGTTCCACAAGCTCCTCCCATTCCTTTCCCACCGCTGCCTGCATCAGAGTGAAGAGAGTCACCACCAAAATCAACGGTGCAGCAGGATCAGAGAGGGAGGTACTCCAACCGATATGCTATTTAGGAGAAATAATGGCCTTGGGATAAAGCTCAAATCTATGAATGGCATGGAGGGTCTAAGCCGAATCTATTGCAGGTGTAACACTATTTAAGTCAATGGAATTAATTTGCCCCTGTGCCCTTTGGTGGCATACCATAACTCTCTTCTTGGAGACTCTTCTGCATATACAAATAAGACACATTCATGCCTATGGCTACGGGACCGTGCACAGGGACACAGACTATGTCACCAACTCACCCTTCGAAGGCGGTCTCTCTGGGTCCGAATCCAGATGGATTGGTGGAGCGATGTAGGAAACCTGCCCGTGGTGTGCCTGCCCTGTGGAGAAATCAAGGCTTTCAGTGTTTCCTGTTTCACATTCAGATCTGTAAGGGGTTTTGTTAGACACACACATCACACGCTCAAAACAGGACTAACAACAGGTTCAAACACATTCTACTTCATCATGTATTTTTCTTGCACATAGAAATGAATGAAGATGATGAACCTTTCGGAGGACTTTTGTCCTGTCAATATGTATATCAAAATGTTTTTGCTTCCTCCAAACAGACATTATTGCATGTTTAAATCTAACAATATCTCCCATTGCCATGCTTAGTGAATGGTTCCACATGCTTGCTCATCATCACATTTCTCCTGGGATCCAATATGAACTGGTTTAGAAAAGCCTAATTGCAGGTTCATAATGAATTTTGCATTGCGCTTGGTTATGGGGCCTCTTATCCAGTTTCTGTTGCGGATTCTCTGTGCTTCAAACTTGAGGGGGAGGGAAATCATTCACTCTTGTTAATCTGACTCCAGCAGTTCTAGCTTCCAGCAATATTTACATTTGTTGCCTACAAGAGCTTTTAGGCCTGGTATACAATAGAGGGGAAGGTTGACTTAAGATACACAGCTCCAGCTACATTAATTGAATAGCTGGAGTCGATGTATCTTAAATCACCATCCATCCACGCAACAGGAGGTCAACAAGAGCAAATGCTCCCATCTGCTTCCCTTACTCCTCATGAGGAGCAGGCGCATCCTCTGAGTTTGATTTAGCGGTTCTTCACTAGACATGCTAAATCAAACCCCGGAAGATCAACCATGGCAGAGTCGATCTTCCACGTAGGGTAGACATGGTCTCAGTGAAAGTATGGCATAAAATACAGCAAACAGTGGCTTGACATTTGTCTACAGTACATGTAAAGTTGAGCATGCAGAAATTACAGTCACTGTTACCTGAATTAAAGCTCTTTAATAGCCAACAGGCATCTTACAATGTTCTTTAGTTGCTAAAGACTTCATTTTTCTCCAATGGATCACTAGGTAACTGCTTATTTTGTGAAACTTTTATTTATAATAAAAACATGTTATAATTCATCTATTTATTGTAACAATTTTCTGGGCTGTTAATCTCTTTTTCTAAACAAGGAAAGTTAATGGTACATAGATTATGATAACAGCTAGAATAACCTTCCCGTTTCAAGTAATATTCATGCTGTAATAAAAACAGTCGATTCCTCTTATGAGGCACATTCCAAATAATTAATATGGCTCCCTGTTGCCATTTGCTGTTGTTGCTCCAAGCAGTTTTCAAGCTACCCTGATAGACAGTAGAGAATTGGTAACGTCTAGGGTTCTTCATAATGACATCCAAGAACACTGGGAGTGCCCCATGCTGGTATAAAGCAATATACTGAAAACATCTCGTCAGGGGTGTAAAACATTAAATGGAAAAAAGAACGTCTGCATGGAATGGGCTATATTTACTGCTTTGCACTGAGACTGACTCAGATAATTTGCATTATTAGCCACTGCAATAATTGTATGTTATTCGTGTTTAAATCGGTCGATATGTCATAAACTCTATATTTGCTTTTAAGTGCTTTCTCACAGGAAATCTGTGTCATGCAAACCCATGTCTGATAGCACTTTAAGGGGCCTTTCACTTCTCAGTTGCATGCTTATATCCCATTTAATGTCAACAGCAAATAGAAGTCACCATCGGATAACTGTTCAGTCATGAGATAGGAGTTAATTGGTTGGTCTCTCTCCAGCTCGGGGGTAGATCCATTGCAGGATCAAAGCTTTAATGGCCTAAAGGTATGGCTTTCACTTAAGGTGCCACAGGTAACGGTCCCGAATCCTGGGGAAGTGTCAGAGGAGGTCGTGAAAATGAAAGGAGCTTTGATGCGATCCAATGGCTGAAATTTGAGGCCAGACAAATTCAGATTGAAAATAAGGACACTTTTTAAAAGCTGTGAGGGTAATTAATGACTGGAACAACTTATCAAGGCATGTGATGGATTCAATATCACTAGCAATTTTTAAATCACGATTGGCTATGCTCTAGTTCAGACAGGAATTAGCTCCGGGAAGTCATACGCGCTGTGTTATGTACAACAGCCAACTGAACAACCACTATGGTTCTCTCTGGCCCTGTTGAGTAAACAGTGGCTTCGTTATAACCAGGATTTCACCCTATGGAGCTATGCTAGACTAGACGGGTGATAGCCTGGCCCAGCTGAAGTCAGTGGGGAAACTCCTGTACTGGGCAAGGAGTCCACTCTGAATTTTCATATCTTGTGGATTTCTCTTCATCTTCCATAGACTAGGCCAGATCCTAATCTGATGCAAATTGATGTCACTTCATGGAGCTAATCAGAATCCTGCTGATTTGCACCACCTAACGATCTGATTCAAATGTCGTGTAAATGAGTAAAACAGTCCTCCCCCTCTCTCTGGGTATATAGGATAAAAAGTTAATTCCTGTACTCAGCTGCTTTCTACCTTCAGAACTATCAAGTCTCTGTGAGAAAAAAACCCTCATTTTCTTTGCATGGAGTTATAACTAATGGCATTGTTTTGTTAATTCAGTCTCGTGCAGCATTGCCAACTCTTGCAATTTTATTGCTAGTCCTGGAACGTATGCAGTATTTGACGTTTACTTCAAGCAAGCCTATGGCCTTCCCGTGGAACCCCATCGGTAGCGCGCGCGCGCGCACACACACACACACACACACACACACACACACACTATCTTGTGTTTTTAGAGCCAGTCTCATGATGCTTTGAGATAACTTCTGATGTGGAAATGTCCAGGACTAGCCATCCTGTCTAAGAACCCTGCCAAGCTTGAATGCCTGTTGGCTAAGCTCTGTCTAGATTGTCCACCTAGAGCTCCTACTGGTGGGCACTTGCTCACACTAGTAGTAATACTGAAGTCAATGGGATTATTTGAGTGAATGCTTCAAAATGTGAGTGTTGCATGCTCTAACCCACTGTTTCTTAAACTGTGTTCTGTGGCACACCGGTGTGTTGCAAGTACAGTCAGAGGTGTGCCGCAGAGAACAGAGTTCAAAATGGCCACCCTTAAAGGAGCAAGCGACCTCCCCACCAACCAAAATCTCCTTGGTTGTTCCACATTAAAAAAATACATTGTTTGGTGTTCCTTGGTCTTAAAAAGTTTAAGACACACTGCTCTAACCCATGGGACCCATGGCTGTATGAGGCAAAACACTGCTTGAGAAGTAAGGCAGATCCATGCCAACGTTTTTAGGAAATTACAAAAAACTGCTTTAAACAAATGGTCCATTTTCTAATAATAAAAAAAAAAAGTAAGTCTCCACTACTGAAAGAATACCAGAGGTCAAGAAGGCTCTTTTCTGAGGAAAAGTTGGGCATGCCTAGAATGATAACAGCTTGCATTGCCCTCTTCAAATCCCATTCTGTCTATAACCATCTGGTGTTCCTGAAGCTGACTCTTAGGTAAAAATGTAAGCAGCAATCAAATGTAATCATCAGAGGAACTGAGAGATAAACTTGCCAATTTCATATCTAATCTCTTCCTTCGGGTTTCTTTTTCCCTCTCCCTGCTTCTCGTCTCGTTTGTCATTGTTCTCCTCCGCCACATTAGCAATGTCTGAAGGAGCATCAAAGCGGCGGCATGCTTCACTTGCTCAGGAAATGAAGTCAGTGATTGCGGATCAACAGTCAGCCAGGGGCTTCTCCCCATTGACGGAAACAGGAAAAGGGGGACAGATTAAAAGGAGGGAGGGTCTTTTGCTGAAGGGTAGCGTTAAAAGCGATGGTCATTGAAAGAAGCTTGGCAAATTGTAACTCAGTAAGCCCCATTGGACTCTGGGATGTTGACGAATACTGAATGAGTGGACGGCTTCAGAACCCTGACAGATTGTGGTTGGGCAGGAGCACGGGCAGGGTGTGTGCTCGCACACACAGAAACCAGCATGTGCAATTTGTGTTTTTTTTCAGATCTGATACAGGAAAAACAAACTCAGTGGCTGTGTAGTGAATTTAGAGATAGCGCTGTGCAAAAACATCGAATTCACTGTTGCAACAGACCTCTCCAGACTCCCCTTCGTGGACTGAGTCATAAGGTATAAAAAGCGATTGACAATTTTAGGGACCAATCACAAACTATCGATACAACAAACATTAATTCGTCTAGTCTATCGAGTTAAAAACCATCTCCCTAAAAATGATACAATCGGACAAAGCTGGTGTAGCCAACTCCCGTGACGCTCTCAAAGGGCTTGGAATATTTGGCATAGTTTCGGAAAGTCTCAGTTTCTGGAGTTATGGGAATAGGTCAGAAACTCGGGATTTTTTTATTAAACTTTAGGCTGCAGGATTGCAAAAGCAGGGAGGAAACAAAGCCTTAAGGATGAAAAGAACAAAGGCAGCAAATAAAAAGATTAAAAAAAAATCTCATTTTTTTTTATGCTGACCTGTTCATTTGGGAGGGCCCGTATCATGATTTTTCAATGAGTTTATATTACTGTTAGTAGAGGGGAAAGAGAAAAGAGGAAAAAAACTCTGTATTGCGTCACCTTCATTCTCTCTGGGTACGTGGCATCATTCTTGATCCCAGCAATTTCACTGTTATCCCTGAATGTGAAACTTTCACAGAGCAACATAAACAAATGTTATTGAAAAAAAATATTCAAAGGGCAGTTGAATTCAGGAGCAGCTGCCATTACTAGAGACAACTTAACTGTTAAACAAAACAAAACAAACCCAACAGCACCCCCCCACACGCACACACACAAAATTTCAAGTTGGTAGTGGCCCTTTAAATGTTTGAAATAGTAGACATTCCCTTGGTAGGCTGTTTCCCAGTCTATCAGTTTTCAGTCAGGAAGACTGGCTGCAATATTTCTTTTCTCTGAACTCCATCCAATTTCAACCAAAAAGAAGGCCGGAACTAAGCTATTTCATCTAAGCTATTTATTCATCCTTCACCACTGTGGTACCTAAGTTCCACCAATCGTCAAATGGATTCTATCCACACAACACCCATGACAGTAGGGAAGCAC